TCATCAATATGTTCTGATTACAGAACGAAAGGAGGATTGATCCTTTTGGTATTCCATACAAGGCTTTTAGCACTCACAGCCCATCTACCCGGTCCCATATTTCAGATGTCCGTTGGCTAATCGAAGCAAGCTAATGTCTCTAGGCCAAGCACTTCCGATTTTAATTCTTTTAGTAGATTCCCCATCTCATCAAGTGTCAACCGAAATTCTGAAAAAAATATTTTCGATTCAAATAAATTACGCCAGTAGGGTTTCCACATTGATTATCATGCAGTCTAATCCCAAAATAATTCAGTCACACCAAGATGCCGTCTTCTGAAGTAGCTTCTTTCTGTCCGCCTGAAACCGTCTATCCCATAAAAATGGCAACTTAAGTAGTATGGAGTTTTCTCATGGATTTTCGGTGTCCTCATAAGCTCAAATTTATTGTACAGTAGATTGTCAAACTCATGAAATGTTGGGGTTTAGAGAAGAAAATTCATGTTTCGCGAAGTCAGCGCACGCGACGTCCCCTCAAGTTTTACGGCAGTAAATTAAGTAGCATAAATAAAAAGACAGGTTGGTTGAAAAATTAAAATTTACTAATATAAAAGTTGATAATTTTCACTAATGACTCCAAATTGAGTTATGTCTATATTACAGGTCACTGCTCTAATGTTAAATATAAATGCGCTTAAGGCAGGGGAACGAAAAAAAACGGCGAATTAATACAAAAAAGTACAAATAACTTTTAAAGTACTTTTTCAATCGTCTATCAACATTTAAAACAGCATTAAAACCGTCAGACATAGACATGGACAAGCTATCTATAGTGGCTTGTTCAATGTGATTATTCAGAACAAAACAAGTTTTTTTTGCTTGAAAAGATTCTTCTTTGCCATGTTCCATTTTCTTGATAATTGCAAAACAATGAAAAACAGTTGACAAAAAACAATGAAACAATGTTTCAGTTGCAAAAATGCTTTTCTATAGGAATCAGATCCGGGCTGTTGGCAGGAATAAAATAGATTGGAAGCCACACACAGAGAGGCTGGCTGTTTACTAAGAAGTTAGATTACGGTTGTAATTCATACTGTCTTGTGTACATTGAGAGAGATTTCCTTTCCTGACATTTCTTTGTAATTATTTCCACAGTATGATAATGCCCACGTTCGCATACATCCTGAAACGCTTAAAGATTTTCAGTGTTTTTTCTGGATTGTACATAAATACCGATTTTTTTGTTCTATGCGTTTACCAAAAACTTAAAAATAAGATATTTCTTAAAAGCATTTGCATAAATAATGAGTTTTTAAACATCCCTTCTTATGCAGCTGTCTGTTTGGATCATGGTTTTCGAATCATCCATACATGTCAACTCATTGCCGAGAAAAATAAGCGTCCACAACAAAAGTCGCGAATGAGCACGCATAAGAGTAATTTAAAAACTTTCTATAACAAGTTACCTCTTGAAAGGGTGCTTTAGTTAGAAACAAGTAGTTTCTTTAACTTTCCTCGGGGATTGCATCAAACCTGCTTATACATTGATCTCTTGAGTATGCCCCTCACGAACTCTGCCAATGCGTATCTGCCCCCTTACCTTTTCTCAACCGCCTATCTCCCTCCTTGAACAGGACATGATTCACGCAGGCAAATGGGAGAATCGTGATGTTCACAACATATTTGGCATGCTGGTTCATCGAGCCACTTGGCAGGGCATTCTGCGTCGTTCCGGTGGCAAAGAGCGACCCTTCGTCCTCACTAGGGCCTTCTTCGCCGGCTCCCAACGAACTAGTGCTGTATGGACTGGGGACAACAAGGCCTCCTGGGATCACTTACAGGTAATTTCACGGAACGAATAAGCTTTCTAGTCTCTATCTTTTCATTTATACTATTGGACATGTCTGCTCCACTGGGCCATAAAGCATCTTTACACCGGGATCGCATTCCCCCTGGTCTAATAGTTTGCTGAAGCATAGAGGTGAAGCAGAAAACAAAAGAAATCGAAACAGTAAATATTTGAGGGTTACTTTCACCGTCTCAAGCCGCGCAGAACCCAGTTCAACCACTCTAACGGAAAACGGGACTGCTAACCAGATAGCATTCCGGCAAAGACCAGAGAGTGTGGAATGACAATTTCCGGCTCCTCAGCCATCATCAGACAGCCGTATCCAACTCCTGGTGGTGCCCCATCCGAGGCTCGAACCCGCGACCTTTTGATCAGAAGTCTACCGCTCTAACCATTGAGCTATATACTTAGACTACTAGCTGCTGTGGCTGCTGACTGAGCCCCAAGGCAGAGTGGGACAAGTGAATTCCGTTAGCAATCGGTGAACGTTAATCAATGAGGACGGCTATCATCAGTAGGCCGACGCCAGCATTGCTGATTTACGCGCGAATTAAGTTCTAGCGAAGGACACTTCTTTAGCAGCAGGCCCAACTCCCCTCAAACCCACGTTACTTCAGTGGACGCACAGGCTCGTCCAATGTAACATCAGTGGCTCAAGAATGTCGCACGTTCGCCTAAACGAACCTTATTTCATTCATTCGCTGGTACGCTACCGGATTATGATTGCTGTGTTCGGAAGAGATACCTGTGGTAGCAGCTGAGGGCTAATCACCGGCTGGAATGACCACCTCGTGGAGATAGGAAACGACTACTTTCGACGCCATCGGCCCATCTGCAGTTTCTGGACCCGGAGTTTTGCAGGGCCGTACACGTGACCGTTGAGTTAAAACTGTTGGACCACCGTGGCCTGAGAACTATCTTCTGCGTGAAGCATGTACTTACTTATACTTGATAGGCCTGTGGTCATGCCTGATCTAGGCGGCCTCGATGATGTTGTCTGTGGTGCCTCTCAACGCGTGATCGTTTCCGGCAGCGGATCTGGGAGGGGGGGGGCTTGACGCATTCTCTCCTTCAGCGATGGAGACGAAATTCAGAAGGTGCAAGAACTATTTGGCAGGTCTTCAGTTGGCCTCCTTGAGGTCTCCGAGTAGGC